AGGCCATCATACGTTCCTTGTTCAGCAATGTATGAATTTTCTTGGACGAAATTATCATTCGTTCTTTGTGGTTTATTATTAGAACTTGAGTCGCGAGCGGAAATACGACGACGGAGATTTGATATTTTTTTTGAAGCCACTCTGGAAAGATTATGGAAAGTTTTATCGGTAGCAATATTGGTGGACCCTCTGATATCAACTTGAGCAGTCATTTTATGAAAATTTTAGAAACGATTATTAAAAAAAAAAATCTGAGTATAAACGAGTATAAATGAAAATAATGAGTATAAATATAAATGATTATTAACGAATAAATGAGAATAAATTAATATAACTAAATATAATGAGAAGAAAATTCAAGAGGTCATGTAGAAAAAAGGAAAAGTGGAAGATGTGATCTTTTATAGACTTTTCAACATCATATTAAATTTATAATTTAATTGATATCTGTTAAGTACTGTCGATGATACAAATATACTTACCGAATTAGGACAGCCGTATCATGTTACTTAACTAGGTAAGTACAATAGAGATTTTTTTAATGGCAAAAAAAATCACTTTGATTGGTATGACAGCATCATTAATGCCATCATTCATTGTGAAGCTGTAAAGAAATATAATGCGCATTAACGAACGAATGTAATGCGAAAAAAGTAAAGGACAATATGTAATGCGAAAGTAAAAACGAATATAATAAAATTCAGAAAATTTTATGTGTGGTATTTTTTTTTTTTTTTTTTTTAAGATCGATAAAATTAAAAAACTAGTTATCCGTGTGATTAATTTTATCGTTACCCCTTAGAAATTCCATGTATTAATTTAGGAAGTTATTGTATTGCATATTCTTACATAAAGCCAAGGTCTGTACAACTCAAAGATTGTACATTTATTTACTAAATAGTCTCATGAATTTATACAAATTATACAAAAATAGTATTTTTGCAAAGGATACGAAACATTAGTATTTTTTTTTTTTCAAGGCCATTCATTAATTATCTCGTTTCACTTGTTTTCCTAGATTGACAATTTATGTATCATAGGCATAAATTGCATAAATTGGACTAGACTCATTATTAGAATGCGCTTTTTTTTCCTAGTTTAGCATAACTTTATCTCCAATCCGGAATATTTGTTCTACTTATCTGAGTGAATGTAGTACTATATGTTTCCTATTAGACCAATAGGATTTATCATTTTCGACAGCAAGTTCAAAAAAAAAAAAATTCAAAATTATTTATGTTTACAAAAAATAATGAATGTTAGCATAATTCTAGTTTTTAACAAAAAGCAAATGAATATATAATATATTTTTAAACAATGAAATCGATGTAGGGATAATTAGTTAATTTATGCACTGCACTAGAGCATATTTTTAATTTTGTTGAGCAAATAAAAAAATAAAAATAAAAATAACAAAAATAAAAAATTTTAAAAAATTAAATGCATATTTTTAATTATATTCAAGTACTTATTTCTTTACTATATATATATCGAATGTAATTTGTAAAGTTAAAAAAAAAAATCAAGTTTTGGTTCCGATATCCCGTGATAAGCAAGGAATAGCTAACGATTTTTGGAAAAAACCGAATTTCAGGCCGTCACTTCCACGCACGCATTGATGATTCTACAGATGAGGAGAATTACTCTTATACCGGTAATAAAAAAGTAATTTCTGATATTCATGTTTAAATTGGTTAGTTTTTTCAATAGTAAAAATTTTAAAAATTAATTTTAATCTATGCATAAAAATTATTTAACTAAATGTAATAAAATCAAATATTATTGTTATTTTTTTAATTTAATTAATATTATTAAAAATGTTGAAATTAAAATTTTCTCCCTTATCTATAGATGCCGCCACAACTCAAAAAGGAAATTAATACCATCAATGATACGATACGTAAAATCGTAAAATTGTCAAATAAAGAAGCATTGTTCTCATCAGCCGAGAAACTTCGCTCGTGCGACTTGATCGGTCGTAAATAAATATTACATCATTTATGACTTAATACACATGGTCAAAATTTAGATTCAGCCACTCGAATTAAAATAGTGAAATGGTATGGCAGGAAGCCCGAAATCCTTATTACGTCATGGAAGAAAATCTCCATAAGGTCAAATGCATGCGTTTTTCTAGAAAGTCGACTTAATTCATGTGCAATATTTTAAGGGAAATGCTTATGATATATCTGATTTTTACTCGTTATTGTACATACTCACGCACGTCCAAAAGTTTATATTTCTTAAATAAACACATTCTGCTGCATTATTGCGTGGTATCTTCTCTGCATTTTATCATTAGATAATTGGGTTAGGTGCTTAGAAAAAGGAGGAAATCAACAACGTGCTTAAAAATTTTATTTTTAGTTAAAATAAAAAAATTGAATAGAAAGAAAAGTGATTACGTATACGTATTAATTTAAAGTTTACAATTTCTTGATATACAGTATTACAAATTTTATACGGTAACATAAAAATTTATCTTATTTCCCTCCTTTTCCAAACACCTGACCCAGTTTCATGCGTAATGATCATATTTTTACGCTATATGAATTATGAATTTGGTTCACTTTATGTCGTAACTAACTTTCCAATCGGTTTCTCCAGCGGACACAATTATATTTACTATTTTGGTTATTTCCGCAAAAATTAACTTTAAATCTGAATACGTACAATACATTTCTATCAATGATGAGGGTCACGGGTTAACGCCACCGCCCCAGTTTTTGGCAAGTCATTGAAAAATTTTGGCAAAAATATTTTCGATATGGTTAACAAAATCGATATACATGTAATTAACAAAAAATTTTTTTACTCTTCATAACTTCCCCAGCTGACCGTTCGTTTAATTTATGTCTACTTTTCTGAAGCATTTCGATAACTCGTGGGTTTGATAGGTCCAAATTTTTTACAGTACGTTAATTTTCAATATGGGCATAAAATAGGAACTATTATTTAGTAATGATTGATGCAAATCGAATTTCAAGTTCCTAAATTTACTATTCAATTGAATAACTATTTAAACTATTATTTTATAGACGTATTTTACACGTCGCTTT